TCGTTACTTAATTTGCTTGGAGAATACTGCCCGTTTTCCTTTATCTCAGTGATACTGATTGCTGCTGTGGGCAAAAAAAACCCAGATATTTTGATTACTTTAGAGACAGAATTTTGTGATACTGCAGCAAGAAACTTACGGTACTGTATCTTTCCAACATCATCTAGCTGAGTTTAAAGTGGTGGAAGATGGAGTGATGGTACACTTATAAAGAGAAGAGGGACACTATGATCTCAGTGCTTTATTAAAACAGGAAGTATGGGGTAGTCTTTTTTTCTGAGGAGGAATTTCATAAGTAGTTTTTTCCTGTTGTGGCGTTTCTCAGGGAACAATTACTAAACTGCTCGAATAAAAATTGTGAAAATTAAACAAAATGTCGGTTGACAACAGATCAGTTAAATTAAGCAAAAAATCACCATTCGTATGAAATCAGCAATTGACTTTCAGTGGCAAAACATTCCTCTAATCAGATAATCCATACAAAAGCCTTGCTTGAAGAGTACTTGATATATATATGGTCATTTGCTATCACAAATGATCAGCTATTGCATGCCTGGCTAAATAAGGGGATTGACTTGTAGTAGTAAAATTTAGAGTTCTACAGTGTAAATTCCTTTTCTTCCCAAGTATTTTTTTGTAACTGTGTATATTTTCTGAAACTGGTCAATACAACCTGTATACAATATGTTCTGCATAGTATGTGTAAGGAGAGCTAATAATTGAAAGCAATTTAAAATAAGAATTATTAATTTGAACTCAGTGCTCCACTGAATTGGCATAAGGATATAAATGCTTTTAGCACACTCTATAATGGGTTTTCAAGAGGGTTTTTTTCCCCCCCTAGAATTTCTATTAACTTTTTAATTTGTCTAATTACTGACAATTTCTCTTGTTCAGAGCTACTCCTGACTCGGCATGACACAAGAATATATTTTGAGATTTTAGGTCATTATCATTATATCCTTGCTGTCAGGTTTTTTCCTATTTTGTCTCATCTGCATTAAGGTAGTGGCACACTCAGATACTAAAACATTTATGAGGAAAAACGGGTGAAAAAGTGTATGTGTGTTCATAAGTGAGTTTTGATTTCAAGACCACATACACCTCATCTGAATTAAAATAGAATTTAAAATATTGATATTGTACAGTAAGCTTTAGCTACTATGCAAGTACTTTTACAAGATTTTTTTTTTCATTCCCAAAATGCTTTTATGGCTGTTTTACTTTGTCAAGGCAGAAAAGTTTAATATTTTGGTTTGAAATTATTTTAAATGTATATTAACTGTATTTGGCCTTTTAACAATGTATTTTCTCTTCCAACACAAAATTGCACCAGAAAGTAGAATAATTGCATTTGGGTTGCTACACTGTTCATGGATCACTAGACAGTGTATTAGTAAGGTTTCAGATAAATGATTGCCAAATTAGACATTGAATACTGGCAAAATCTGAATATTTTAAAATTCAGTCTCATATAATCAAAGTGTATTTTTTGTATTCTGACTGTATTTTTCAACAGGACACTTCTGCCAAGTGAAAAGTATTGGAGTTCCATTTTAAAATTTATTACTTGGTGCCTGGAAGCATAAGATACTGAAGCTAATCTCGAATAACTAATAGTATCATTTAAATGCTCAAATACACTCTTAGTGTTTAGGTATTACTACTAAGAATGATTATTTTAACACGTTGCATTTTATTAGTACCCGACGTATAGTGACACGAGTTTGCTGAACAGTCCTGTTGCAATGGAAACAGATGGGCCTTTAATTGAAGATTTGCAGATGCTGAAAAAGACAGTTAAAGAGGAGGCTTGTCAGGTAAAGCCATGTGAAAATAAGAAAGTACTCTAAATTATGAATTTATTTTTTTAGTGACTGTTAATCATAGATATAAACTTGGGACTGGGGTTATGTTTTCAGCCCTGTAACCATTTACTGTAGAGTAATAAACTTTGTTAGAGCTGCTACTTTTTAAGTGATACTGTAGCAGCTAGGAATACGGTGTTATATTTCTAATGCCTGTGAATGTGCTGTATGGTCTCTTTTGACACTTCTACAGACACTTTTGTTTTCTTTTCACTTAGAAATAGCTTTTTCTGTCATGATGGGAACAATGATTATGCTTTAAGGATAGTTAAAAATACAGCTAAAATCTACCATATTGTGTTCTCCTCTCTATATAAAAGTTTTTGGTTTTCATAAGTAAAATTGGTGTAAAATATAGTCAGATTCTAGTCATAACATTTTTGTTTGTTTGTTATTCAGAGCCTTAGTGGCTAAAGCTGTTTCAAAAAAATGTGTAAAGTGTGCATTTGTCTTGCCCACTTATGGGTCGTCTTCCTCAGTCCACCATCTGTCATGTTCTATTACCTGCTACAGGGCAAGGACTCTCAAGGTCATTTCAGTCTTTTTGTCTTTAGCTAATGCTTCGTAATCTTCAGGTGTTTTTAATTTAACTTCAGTTAAGGGGAACTAGAATCCTTACATTCAAACTAAAGATTTAAACTTGGAGTTGATGGCAAAAGGAGAGGTGTCAGCGAGCTTTGCAGTATCACTAAGTTGTCTGGTAGGAATGTCAGTAACATGAATATCTCTAAATCCAGCAAACTTTAAGACCAGAGAAATGATCTGGAGCTGGAAAAACTGGTTGAGATCGGAGATAAAGTCTGTTAATTAGAGCCAATGTATCAAACAAGAAAGCTAATAAAAATAAGCATATGGTCAACCTAACCTCCTACATTACTTTCTTGAAATTCCAGTGTCATTATCCTGCAAGATTATATTTTATTTATTATTTGTACCATGGCATTTTGGGTGAAGGTTGAAATCAAAAGAAATGCTGGAATGCCTCCAAGACATGCTCTGTGATTGCTGTTTTTCAAACACCTCGCTCTGGAGGGGAACCCTATGCATTACATGTAAATCCTGGTGTCTGAGTTACATGCCTACCTGGGGCAATGAATGAGGGTAGCATTCCCCTGAATGAAAATGCTGGTTAGAGCTAGTCAGCGAGGAACACTGAGCTTATTATTAAAGTTTCTAAACCTCTGCCTTTCTTCAGACCTTGGATAGCTTAGCCAGGCCCATGTGGTAGGGAGAGGGGCCTCCTCTCACTAGCTCCAGAGCCTAGAAGCAGTTGTAGAGGAGAAAGGTGCATACAAGATTATTTAAAAAAAACAAGTACTGCTTAATCTTGTGTTGATGGCAGTGTCTGTCTTTTACTGTGCTATTTCCTAGCGCATAATGATTTTCTCAGTATTTGAGACCTTGGTTCACTTTCTATCCTGGCCAGAGGGATTAAAACTCATACCTCCTAACTCCGAGTGCTCTAACATTAGTTCTAGAAGAAAAGCAGTCAAAGTGTGACTATATAGTAGTTGGGACAAGCAGTTAAGAACAAAGTTCCCAGTCCCAGCTTCTGGAAGTGTTTGGGGATTTGGGCCAGTATTATACAACATAACATGTGCAGACAGTAATGGCAGCCCAAACTAAAACCAAGGACTCTACCTAGGTCTTACCTTTTCTACAAACAATTCGACTTAAAGAGCTATAATGTTGCGGTTATATATATATACAGCTTCATTGATACTGTTCCAGCTGGAAAACGAGTGCATCACATTCCTATGGATGAGCTTGATTTCCACACCACACACCCCCGGCCCCAGTTGTTGGAAGGGATGGGTATTTAAAAAGTGACGCTAACAGAAAAGCAACAAATTGTAAACTAAATAAAATTCTGAAACTTGGGTTGGAACTGTTCAAGCAGTCTTTAGCTATCTCTGCAAGTGCATGCTTTCCTGCTTTTCCTTGCTCAGAAAGTGTGCAAGAAGTAAATGAGATGATTAGAAGGTTATTTGCCTGTTTTTCAAAGATAAAGATCCTGTCCTAGCAGAGCTAATAGAACAGTTTGAAACAGGAATTCTTGTTATTAGAAAAACTTACAGAAATTTGTGAGAAGTATAAAGCTTGCAAGAGGAGTGATAAGTCTGGGTCACCAGGCAGCAGAAGGATTGATTAAGGATTAGGGTATTACAGAAAGCAAACTGGATTACATTCTTGCATCAGTCTTTCAGAGGACACTGGAAAGACAGTTATGTATCCTTTGCTGAATACCATCAAAAATTGATGCTAAAACAAGAGGTATTACAGTTATCAGGGTTTTTTTTTTAAAAAAAAAAAAAAAAAGGCAAGTCAGAAGGACAGCTTAGTTTAGTTTTTGAAGTAAAACTTCGGAAGTGAGGAACTGTGTAAAGATCTATACAGTTTCAGTGAGAGTAAGGTTTATGCCAGAGGTTGGCAGTGTAGCGGACTGTCCATACCGAAGAGGTGATGGAATGACTGAGGAAAGTAGACAGGAATTTTCTGTACCAGACTGTGTGAGCATTTTTAGTGAATACTCTTTGCTACAATAAAAAAGACCACCATGACTTACTAAGTTTTTGCACATTCTAGTAAATCAATAGCTAATAAAAGGTAATCAGTTTTTGTAAGGACTTCTTTTATAGAAGAACATGAATCAACATCATTGATTGAACAGGCAAATTATAGTAGGTGAGACAGACATGGGAAGTATATAGAGACACCATTATATTGTTTAAAGATACTTTGATAGGAATGCTGTCTAGTTTTGAGAGCGCATCGGTAAAATGATACAGTAGAACCTTAGATTTTGAGATATGTGAATAGTGCAAGTAATTAGAAGAATGGAAAAAATTAAAATCATTTATCTTACATGTAGAGACATACAAAATAATAAGTGAAAAGATAGGTGATAATTTTATTTTTAAAAATGTTATCAACTGATACTCATGGTAGTAATGTTATGATTGCTAATAGCTTAGAATTTGTTCAGTTTTTTTCTAATTTTTCTTGGCAGAAAAAGGGTTTCAAGACTTGAAACTGCAGAGCTGGTGAAGTAAAGAGGAGAATGTATTAACTTTTTCCTATATTTTTTTTATTTCTTTTCCTATAAGCGAACATACAGATGTGCAAGAAATGTTTTTAAGTAATTGTTCAGTAATTAATATTTTTGGCCAACTTTGTTCTATCTTTTATTTCAGGCACAGAAAGATCAGAAAAAAGATCGTCCTCTTGTGCGACGCAAGTCAGAACTGCCTCAGGATATCTATACCATGAAAGCCTTGGAATCACATTGCAGAGCTGATGAATTAATATCACATGATGGGCATTAAACTATTACAGTGAAATATTATTTTGGAAGAAAAGATTTTTTTTCTGGACTCAGTTCTACAGTAGAACTTACTTTTTGTGCCATACCAATCAGTTACACACAAAGTCAAAGCTTTCTTCAACCCAGTTCTGTAGGCAATAACTTAGAGTATGCAGCTCAAGATTAGTAGTTCAAACAATGGTAAATTACCCAATTCCATATGCAGAATGTTGGGTTGACTATAATCAAGTGGACGCAATTTCCTGGAGGTGTTACCATGGTACCAGCTAGCTGATAACGTGCAGTTTTTATAGTCATATTTGAGAAACGCATTCTATACGCTCTTTCCGGCTAAGTGAATGACCAATAGTTGGTACTAATGAGAAATTAATGTTTTCAAAATTAAAATTATTTCAAATTTAAGTATTAAACTTTTTCTACGATTTCTCAACTTCACAGTTGTTTCGACATTATTGCTGTCTTGTAATATACCAGCAGTTTTGAAAATACACAGTTATTCTTTCGTATTATAAAACATGGCTTACAAACTGGTGATTTTCATGACAATCCTCAATCATCATTCCTTTCTAAGAATTCTGTAAATTTATTTCTCCTTTACTTAGGATAAAGATATATATCTATATATACCATGTCCTAATACTTTATGTATATTTAAAGCCATATTTTCCAGTCTTTAGTGTATAATACGGCACCAGTATTCCAGGTGTGAACTGGTAGAAGAATTTTTCCTAAAATGAAAATTTGTTTACTATGACTGGGAATAGACTGAATATAAAATATCATTTTAAGTTTTTTCAGGTCAATAAAATACTCTTTCACTGTTTTCTCCCTTATCTGAGCTTTTAATACTCAGCATTTTTCTTGGGCTCTAGGAGTTCAATATTCTGTGGCAGATACTACGCGTGATTTCAGTTGCATCAGTTTTTATCTGAAAGACGATCATGACCTTTCAGGAAACACAACATCACAAGCTTATTAAAATAAGAAAAAGAACAGACCCTTGAAATGCGTTCTGTTTCATTTTAAATGAGTCTAAGAGCTGAGGAGATAGTGACCATAATTTTACCGTGAAAATATTTTTTGTTGTTGTTGTAAAGAGCACATGTGCTGCAAATACACCTCACAAGTGAACTGAAAATGCATCTGAGTTGCTGATGATCTTCAAATGCTGCTATATATTCCACAAGATTACTTGCATGTAATGAGCTTTTTGTTGTAGATGGAAAAGCACGGGAGGAAAATCTCTTTAAAAATATAGTGCTTTGTCTTCGATATTTGATTTCTCTCAGGGTGGCCAGTATTTTGACTTACTTATCCTGCTTACAAGCTGTTTGAAATGTGTTCTGCTATTCTAAATGGGTGATTAGTTTCTTTTGTCTCTGGCAGTAACATGATATAACTTAATGTTTAATGTCTTGATGCATAAAGAGATAAAAACGTGGCTTCTTTAAAAGTAGTTTTGTTTTACTTTATAAGGAAGTATAAGGTCTCCTGCATCCATTAAAAAAAAAAGTTGCGCAAAGCAGACGTTCATAGTAACCTTGTGCAGATGTAGTGCCTGCTGTTCGTTGGTTGCATTTAACATTCAATTTCCAATATTTGTTACGTTGTCTATTGGAAGAAAATTGTGGGTGGTAAATATTGGCTTGCAACAACAAAATTTAAAGACCAACCCAACCTTTAAGTGGAATGTCCACTGTGTCTGAAAACGTTTCCTGTAAAACTTGAAAAGGATATGCTTTACCATTAGGATAAACTATGTTAAAACAGTTTAAAGATGCCTTCTCCTTTTGAGGGAAAAAGGGTGCTTTTTTAATTGTGTAAAGCAATGTCTGTGTATTTTGATATACCATTGTTTGAACTTCCATCTTTAGCTGGTAGATTATCAGTTACCTTTGATTTTGGGTGTTCAGTATGTTTGTGCAAGAGGTTGCTGAAAGGAATTATTCTTCTGTTACCCAAGGAAAAAAAAACAACCTGTATATCAATGTTTGATTGTGTGATGCTCAACGTATAAGAACATCTTTCACTGTCTAGATTTTATTTTTGTCCTTTATTGAAGATAAACACTCACCAAAAGGGAGATATGGTATTTTTAAAGGCTTAAAGTTCACCATAAATTCATATTGGAAGTTTTGGGCCACTGAGCATTTGCTTGGGCAATATTCCAAAATCTATCACCACTAATGGTTTAGCATGTTTATTACCAATATTTATATACTTATAAATCTATACTAAACTGTTCTAAAACTAATAAATCCGAAATGAAAAGAAAAATTGAAGTAGAATTTTGGTGACTGTTGTTCTTCGTAAAGTTCTGTGTCTGACACCTTCCCCCATTTTCCAAAATTACACCTGTACATCAGGAATGTCAAAAGTAATATTACAAGTGTCTTTTTAGTGTGGCTTTAGTATGGCTTCATTTTAATATTGTACATACATTGTACCTTGTTTTATGGTAATAATAAAAATGTAGACTTCATATTTTGTACAGAATTGTCCTATGTACAGAATAAAAAGTTCCTAGAAACAGCAAAAATTAGGTAAGTGGCACAATTATTTTTCATTAGACAATATCTGTAACATTATGCGTTAGTGGAATGTTAAGTTCAAATGTACCTACATATTTTTTAACATTTTGTAATTCAATTTTTTGTTCTGACATTGTTTCTGAAGAACTTCATACACCTGCCATTTAATATGCTTTTATCTAATTTTCAAACTTTAAAAAAATAATGGTGTATTATATGGACAAATAAAGAACATGTGAATTTTACTTGCTCATCATGAAACTAAATTTAGCATAGGGTGTTTGGGGGTGTGTTCAGATTATTGTTGCAGAATCAGATGTACAAATTAAAATAACTTCATAAAGTTCACAAAGGCAAAAAAAAAATACGTGGGAGGGCCATTAATTAAAAAAATGGAATAACGGATATTCAGTACAAAAAGCGGACAACTTCTAGAACAACCATCTGTACCAAAAGGAGATCTCCAGTCTGCGAATATGAAAGTTGCACCTTTCCTACCATAATATTTTCCCTTGTAAGACTTCTGTATTGACAGGCTTCAAGCGAAGTAGCCATAAAAATTAGAGAGTATAGTGTGGTAGGTGATACATGGTCAGGCAGCAAGGTTGTAGGAGAAAACTTCAATCTGTAGGAGGAATTGTCTTCCCTCTGGAATCCATAAGCGTCTTCAAAAGAACTAAGGAAATTACTCACGTAATGCTGACTTTCAGTAAGTGGTGGGTTGAGGGGGAGCTGGTGTGGGGATATGAGCCTGAGATCGATACCTGACTACTGACTTGAGTTGTAAGTGAAGCCTTTGGGTGCTGAAACAAAGTTTTCTGCGTGAGCTCAGAAGTGAACTCATCGCATGCACTGCCAAGCGTAATCATGAATCAAAAACTAGATACTGAAACAACTGAGGAGTCAGTAATTCAGTTTTTACAAAATTAGGGTTAAATACCTCTCAAAAATATAATGTTTTAAAATACTGACAGTAGTGACATTTTTCTGTATAAATACCTTACTGAGCTGCAGGTGTGTTCAGGATGTGAACTTTAATCCTTTCTCTCTCAGGGGCTTTGACCAACAACTTTTTTTGGCATTTCTTGCTTGGTTTGACTCCTTAGAAGTGGAAGGGAAGGTGCAGGTGTAGCACAAATACACTTGTTCGGGGTGGTTGCTTGTTGCTTTATGGAAACTATTTTAGGACCTTACAAATGTACTTACAGGAGGTGACTGCGATTCCAGGTTATCCTGGATATCATCCTGGATCCCATTATGGACTACCCACCTAAAAGTGGAGCACTTCTGCTCCTTGAATCTTATCCTTACTGTACGTAATGATTGTGGAGACTCTGACTGTATATAGCTAATTAAGAAATGCCATTCTAATTACCATATCACTGTCTCCCTGGGTTATAGTTTCTTTCATATGATGAGACTTGGCTTGAGCTGTCTTTACCTTGTGATATAAAACTTTGATGTAGTTAAAAATTTTGTATGAAAAAATTCCCAAGGGAGAATTTACTGTGGAGCTAAAGAAGATAATACATTATTCTTTCCTCACATAGTTGAAGAGCAGCACGACTGCAGCTCGCTTTCTCTTGAACACAGTCATACTGGGACTGCATTCACTCCTGCGCAGGCAGAGGACTGCACACACAACATGAAGTTTCATCAGCATTTACCCCATCATGTTGAGGGGAGAGGGCTTCCACTGTTGCTACAAGGGGGAGAAGGGTATTGACATAACTGCCTCAAGATATTTCAGGCATTTTTGTGATCCAGAAGACGACACTATGAGGGTTCATGCTAGCATGAAGGTCAGGCCGTAGGAATTTTTCTAGTTCTCTAGCTGTAGAATTAAAGATGCAAGAGGATTAGAGGTGGGAAAGCAGGTGATTTGCTCTGATTGTTGTTGCTTTGGGTTTTTTGCTTTGTTTTTGGTGTCAAATACTATGAAATTTTTATTAAATGTA